CGAAGGGAATTTTTATCAGTTGTGAAAGTGTTGGACCGAAGGGACAGTTTGACCTCATGGTGGCGCTGAATAAAAAGTCAGAGCATCCCCAAAGTCTCCAGGATTCATCATCTGGGAACCTCGAACATCTGCACCAAGTCTGGCGCCAGTCCATCAAACAGATGTTGGAAAATGTCACTAGAGAGTTTGTTTGACCAGTTGCATGTTGTTTGCCCCAAACTGCATGAGATTAGCATAAAGTGCACAAAGGAGAGACTTGTGGGTTCCCATAGGACCTATTTTCATTCAGATATCTTGAGGTCAGAGGTCAATGGATCCCTTTTTGAAAATGGCCATCCCAGTTCTTCTATCGCTACAACTTTAGAGATGGTTGGTACCAACGGATGCGTCACGTATTCTAGTTTCATAAATCTTCACTCCAGCGTTTAAACGGAGCTCACTGCAGCTTCTGAAAGACAATGTGGGACCGGAAGTGGAAGGATATCACCACGGTTACAGCCCCCGTTAGCCCCTTCTAGCCCCCCGTTACCATGGCAACTACAGTATCAGCCAGAAACATCAACCTCTAATTATGGTCCTAAGTTACATTTTGTATATAAATATATGTTTTGGTCATGGTCGCTATCTTTGGAGAGCTGCTACATCCTGATAATATTACAGGTTTTCTTTCACACTGAACAATAATTTCTACTTTTGAGCCAAAGATTCCCTCCATAATAATAATAAATTCAAAAATAGCATCAGATTTGTAACCGGCGAGCACTTTAATGTGGTGGCATTTGCCACGGCCGGGCGTGAATGAGCAGACACCGGTAGAGAGCCGGGGCGGGGGGGGGTATTAATAGCGGCCGCATGCCTTCCACTGAGGGCGGCCAGCTGTCGTAGTCTCTCTTCCTCAAACACTCGCCATGTTGACAGCAAATACTGGAGGATCAAAACACACACTCACACACACACACACACACACACAACACAACACACACACACACACACACACACACACACACACACAAAGAGCCAGAGGGTGCGGAGATATCAGACCTGAACTACGTTTGTTTTTTATTAAAACTAAAACTAGGATTAGTGAAGCTGTTGAAGGCAGAAATATAAACATACGCTCCTCCCACCGCTCTAAATTAAATATATTGATAATCAATTAATCGTTTTGAGTCCGTTTTTAAGAAAAAATGTCAAAATTATCAGATTTCTGCGTCTAAAATGTGAATATTTCTGTGGTTTCTTTAATCTTCTGTGGCTGAATATCTTTAAATTGTAGTTGAAATGAGACATTTGAGGATTTTGGGAAACAAAGATCAACATTTTCTAACATTTTATGGCTCAAACAACTGATCGATTGATAATAATCAATAATCGTTAGACGCAGCCCTGCTTCCCATGGTGCAACGCTAACTGCACTTCCTGTTAGCGACTCTGCTCGTTTCCCTTTTTACTGGATTAAACAAACTTCACATTTATCCTAAATTTTATTTTAAAAAATTAGCGTATCTTAGCGGGGTAATGCCATCTCAGCTGTTGACTCTGATGGATTTTATGATATTTTATGTGCTATTAAACTTTATTATAAGATTGTAAAACATTTATTTATAAGTTCTTCTTCTTTCGTTCGTGATTTTAACTATTTTTTTCAACTTTTTGAGAAAGTAGTTCCTGTACGAGAGAAATTGAACGTGCTTTTACTTTATCGGACAGCGTACTTTTGTTTTGAAAAGAGAAAACTAATATTTAATTATTTATTTATAATTTATAAACATTAGGAAACAAAAGAAGTATTTTTTCTGTCTTTTCTGTTTTTTATTTTCAAAACAAAAAAACAGAAAAAGGTCGTTCCCCCACTTTTTGTTTTCTAATTTCAAAATAAAATCCCTTCGACCCCACAGCACCGACCTTTATCTGGATACCTCTGCTGTACTTTTCATTTATCTGACAGTTTCCATTATAAACTTATATGACAACAAGCAGCACTGAACAGTTAATCCACTCAATAACATACAGATTATTAATTTAACTCTCAGACTACAACATTAACACACTCTCACATGTATTTAGTGACAGAAACAGAATAATATTCTATCATAAAGGAGCCGTTCTGCACACTTTAAATACACTTTAAATACACTTTAACACTTTAATACACTTTAAATACACTTTAAATACACTTTAACACTCTAACACTTGAAATACACTTTAACACCAACAACACTTTAGAGTATTTTTAGACCTTAAGGACCTTCTCGCTGTCAGGAGACACAGAGCACATTACCTCTGAGGGACGACCGGTTTCCTGTCTCCAGTTCAGGTGAAATCTCTCCAGAAAGACAGAAGAAAAGTTCCTGTCTGTCTCTCTTCGTCCTGTCTGTCTGTCTGTGTGTGTGTGTGTGTCTGTGTGTGTGTTAGTGGTAACCTACCGGCTGTCTGACCCCCGCAGGCTCAGCTGATTGGTCGAGCATGTGTGTGAGTTATGAGATCTTACACCTCAGTCACCCCAGGCCCACCCTCACCCACCCTCACCCACCCTCACCCCCACAAACATCCACCCTCACCCCCACAAACATCTACCCTCACCCACCCTCACCCCCACAAACTCTGGAGTCTGAATGTGTTTATTATATCACTGGATTATAATTATTGATGCTTTAATGATGCAGTAGAGTTAATTTTAACTACTTTATATTCAGCTGGTTGGGTTTAATCCATAATAATAATAATATATTATAATTTATTGATTTATATTTTGTGTTTTTAATCTGAATCTGACAAGTAACCAGTAACTAAAGCTCCCAAAATGTTAATTTATAAGTAACATAAAATGGAAATACTTAAAGAAATGTGTCTTTAACATTTTAAATAAAGGATGCTGATTCCTATAATAATATTGTGCTATTTTTATATTATATTTAATTAAACATACTTTAAATATACACTCAAATGATGTTTTAAATACACTTTGTTCTTTCTCACTTAATTTAAAATACAAAGCAAATACAAGCAAAGGATTTTTATTTCTATATAACTTTATTTATATACACGTGATATTTTAGTTTATTAGAATTTATATGAAACTTAAGATAAAACCTCATTAGAACAGAAAAGAGTTCAGTGTAATTTAAATAACAATAAATAGTAAAAATATACAACAATTAGTTTAAAATGGAAACTCAAACATTTCTAAAAGAAACTCTTAACAATATTTTTTATATTGTATTTATGATGCAACTAAAATGTGTAAAAACACAACTTTAAGAAGGTCTATGTTCCTTTTTCCACCTCGATATATTGATTATTACTCTATTAAAACTTTAATAATGAATAAACAAAGTACACCGACCTTTTATCTGAATATTTATATTAAATAATAAAACCTATATTCCTTTTTCCACCTGGATATATTGATCATCTCTGCCCCAATCAGTCAGATTTGGTTGTTTTAACTGACACTTTTACATATTTTAACCATTAAAACTTTAATACAAAATAAAACAAAGTGTAGTTTGACCAGATGAGTCCGACTTCGACTCCACCGACACATCTGCTGTCCCGAATAGAGACGACTAGAATCTTTACATTCCCGTGGGAATGAGTGAAATACCAGAGGAGGGAGTGTGTGTGTGTGTGTGTGTGTGTGTGTGTGTGTGTGTGTGTGTGTGTGTGTGTGTGTGTGTGTGTGTGTGTGTGTGTGAGTGTGTGTGTGTCTCCCTGGCAACATCTGAATGGGATCAGTTGCTGACCAATCGTGAGGCTGAGGAGGAAGTTTTGCTCTCTGCTGTTGGCGGGTCGAGTTCTCTAAACTTAGAGCTGAAAATCCTCCTCGGAGGCGTTGGAGCCTCGTCAGAAACCGATCGATTACAAGCTGATAAATCGATTGATAACTGCTGATGAGGATCTCTGAGAGATAGATCTGCTCCTTGAATATGAAGCTGTAACACCAGTGGCTAGTTAGCTTAGCTTAGCATAAAGACTGGCAGCAGGGGAAAGAATTAGACTGTTTTTATTTGTAAACAGACACACAAACAATATATTGTGTGAGCTTTAAAGGAGCCCGTACGGCAGATTATAAGAGTGGCATTAATTTGGTCGTCTATAACATAAACAACATGAATTATATTATTTATTTAATTTAAACCAAAACAACAGTATTTAGAATAAATTTAAATTGTAACTTTTATAATTAACCTTTAAACTCACATTAGATATAATATTAATGTGATATATGAACAGTTTGTGTATTTTCCTCTTTAAAGACACATTAAGTCGTTTTAAGTTGTTTGTTGTAAATAATAATAATAATAAAGTGTCATCGAGGCCTCAGAGGAGCGTCTGACCTAAACACCATGTAAATAATATAATATAATAATAATAACACCAATAAAGTCTGTCTGTCTGTCTCTCTGTATATCTATCTGTCTATCTGTCTCTATATATCTGTCTATCTGTCTCTTTATCTATCTGTCTGTCTGTCTGTCATCTTTATCTGTCTGTCTGTCTCTCTATATATCTGTCTATCTCTCTATCTGTCTATCTATCTATCTGTCTGTCTGTCTGTCTGTCTATCTGTCTCTTTATCTGTCTGTCTGTTTATCTATCTATCTGTCTGTCTCTCTATATATCTATCTGTCTGTCTGTCTCTTTATCTGTCTGTCTCATTGTCTGTAGAACAGGAGAGTCGGTGTTTGACCACCAGAGGGCAGAAACAAAGCTCCTCCACCAACCTGGCAACACAAAGTGGGACACAGCCCCCCCCCCACACACACAGCTGCGCCTCCACTCCTCCATCTTGTATTTACTCTGGTCGTCATAACAACTTCCTGATGCCTGGGAAACGGGAGGTCGGGGGGGCGGCGGCGGTAAGCGGATACTGAGCGGACAAGAGGCCAGAGGAAGTGTCTGAACATCCTGCCAGCTGACGCAACCTCACAGATCTTCATCATCACATCAAGAAAACATTTTATTCAAAGTTAAAATCCTTTAAAGGAAACAAACAGTTTGTGTTTCAGGGATGGATCCAATCTTTATTCATAAAAAGTAGATTTAATAAAATTATACTTTCCTCGCGTCATTACAAACCTTCCCTCCAGGAGTCCTCGCCACTTTATTTTCACTATTTAATCCCAATTATTGTATTTTCCCGTGAATTTAACCAACAAAAGCTACAAAGGAAACAGACTTTGATTTTTATACCAAAAAAAACCCCAAATATTGTCGACCTGTCAGCAACGTGAACCCAGAAATGTCGAATAACCCAAAGTTTCATGAGAGAAATGTTCAGTTTGGGTCCCGAGCATCCTGAAACTGCACATGTTGGACATAATTCGCATTAATAATCAACTATATTGACGATATTTCAGCAGCTGATTGGCTGATTTGGATGATAAAGGAGGTTTGAGGGTTTATTGAAGATCCTGAATACATTTCTAAACCAGAAGCGACCATATTTAAACTCCCAGTGGCTGATTTTTTATTTATTTTTGAGGTTATTATTTATATGTTTACACAGTAGAGCTGCAGTTCAAGCTCAATGTCACTGGTGTGAATGTTCAGACGTCATATTTCTGCTGTTGCTGTGCAGCATGTTGTCACTGATCTGTCTCTTTGCTGCTGCGGTTATGTATTAAACACATAAATAACCTCAAAATTGACTTAAAATTAATCAAAATGAGCCAACTGGGAGTTTAAATGTGGTTTAAAACTGCCATTGTGTATTTTTAAAACCTTAATAACCCCTAAAACCCACTCCTATATCGTCCAAATCAGCCAATCAGCTGCTGAAATATTGTCCCTACTATGCTCTTTAATGCTGATTATGCAAATTTCCCAACATATGCGAGTTAGCATGTAGCAGATTCTAAATACTCGAGACCCAAACTAAACATTTCTAACATAAAACACTATTCTAAGGCTGCAGTCTCCATACAGGACAGAATATGTGATACAGCAGCTTTATGATGAAGGATCTTGTTCTCCAGCTGTCAGAAAATGTGCAGCCAAAAGCAATAAAATGCCTAAAAACGTTGCGGTTTCTTAGAAAAGCTGCCGTGAAATCAGAAACTTTAGGCCGCAACAATCCCAGAAAGCAGCCTGTGACATCCTGGAGGGACTGTTTCCCAACGATGGAGAGGATTCTCCGACCGACCGCCTCCTCTTACAGCGAATTAAAGAAGGCACGAGCTGTTTGTGTGTCAGTCACATCATCTTCGTTATCTGCTTCATTACTCCTCATTAAATCACAGAAAATAACATCAAATCAACAAGAGATCAACAACTTTTTACCTGTTTAAAGTGTTTGACAAAGAAATTCTGCCTCGGTGACACAAAGAGACAAAATAAGTCCTCATAGAAACACCGTGGGTCGAGTCTGATGAGGTCATCTTTTATCGAATGTTGCCCTCAATAAGGCGACCGGCTCGTTTAACTCAAAACACCAAAACAAAGCGAGGCCGGCTGGTGAAACTCTGTATCTTTCTTACTGTTAATGAACCAATGAAAGACCAAAACCAACAACTGAACCCGGTTAAATCTTCTTCCTCTAGAGCCCCGTCGTCCTGCTGCCCCAAATACTCACTAGAGCACCAAATGTGGATTCATCCGCCACTGAAAATAGTCCCCAACAAGTGTATTATTTCCTTTTTAAGTTGATAAAAACTCTTTTAACTCAAACAAGTGTTGAAACTGATCTCAGATTGAAGCAGCTTAAACATTTTAAGTGACACCGAGTTCATTTTTAGTAGTTTTTATTCGTTCTGTGAAAACAAAAACTACTTAATCAGGAATGTTTCTGTAACTTAAAAGTAGAAATAAAAGCTGCTTAATTAAGAATCTTTTTTAACTTAACAAATGAGAATTGAGTTTGTGTAACTTAAAAGCTTTGATGTAATCTGTTCCAACTTGTTTGTTTTTCAGTTAAATTAACTTTACAGCGTACAATGAGCCTTTTAAAAGAGAGACACTATTTATTTTTAGGCCGTTTTTAAAGTTTTATGGAGGAAAACTTTCACTTTGAACCTGCTGCAGCCGAATCCTCAACCACAGAACGGGACGCCGACGTGCTTCTGGACCACGAGGAAACCAAATGATTGGGCAAAAAGAGAGAAATAATAATTATATATAACTATGCTGCACTATAATCCCCCTTTAACTCACCTCGTACAGTGTTTAAGGTCACAAGCTGATTACTAATAATCTGTATCTGTATGTTGGTTCTGATCTTTTTATGATGTTTGTTGACAGTAAATAAAATACATAACTCCACCTTTAAGAGACATCCTTCCGGTACGTCATCGTTGGCATACTGATTTCCAATAATAGTGATCGTGATGATCAATAATTCCTCACTTCAATGTAACACAATAAGTGCTTCGACTTCATTTTAACGAGAGACGACTGCAGCGTCCGCGCCTGGAGGCAGAAACTCTGTAAATACTCTTCCACGAATGACAAAACAAACAGGAAGTGGAGAGAAAATAAAAGCCCATCGACGGCGTTGGTGATGGATGTTTATGGATCCGGGTTGCAGGAGATCAGCGGCACCTTCGTGTGGGATTATATAAATCCACGTTGGACAAAGTCTTTCTTTCTGTCCCCTAACAGAGAGTCCCAGGTCAGCGGCGTCTGCGGCGTGCAGCCTCCGGCCTGCAGGTCGCACGAGTATCCCGCGGGACAGCAGTGCTTCGAGTCGGAGCAGCAGACGGCCTGTCGGGAAAGAAGAGACAGCGGGTTGGATTGAGGTTGATTTCCTTCCTGTAACGTTGACTGACAGTTTCCATCAGCGTTTCACAGAAATGTTTACATCCTGTTGGATCATCTGTAGCTTTTAGACCACGTTCAGATACATAAATAATCTTTTTTTATTATTATTATTATTATCAACCTCAGGAGATGTTTGTTAAGAGACTAAAGCTTCGATGTGCAACATGAGACATGAAACAGCTGAAATCTACAGAAATAAATATTAAAATCAGACAATCAGGACAATGTGGTGTTTGTTGTCAGAATTAAGAGTCGATCGGCTCTTTGATCAGGCGACAGACAGACTGGTCTCGTGCGGGTGAACCTTCCAGTCAAAAGATGATTGATTGATCATTAACAGGCTGTATTACATGTTGATGTGACCAACTACAGATGACAAAGGTCAAAAGATTCAAACAGAACATCTTGGTTTAAAAACAGAGGTTATTTCCAGGTTATCAGGTCATCTTAATCCATTTCCAGGTGTTTCCAGGATGCGTGGGAACTCCGGACCTGCTAACGTATAAAAACCTCAGAGTGACATTAAAGTGGTTTTCAATACAATCACATAAAGAATATTCTATCATATAGGAACCACACAGAGTAACACTGAGACACAGAATACAAACTGACCTCAGCGAGTTCACTGAGGCAGAAAACAGGGACGCTTTGGATCATGTGACACAATGTTCACTGGTCACATGACCCACATTCCTCAGAGTCAGACGAGGAAACTATAAAATCACCGTAAACTTAATAAACACCAAACAGAGCCTGTGAACGTACCCTGGGCGAGGGGCAGCAGGCCCACTCTGTGGCCGACAGCTTACAGCACGTGTCCCGCTCGGGGCAGTGGAACTCCCCCGCGCTGTCACATGGTACGTCCTCGTCGCCCTCGGCGCCTCCGGGCTCGGGCCGTACCACTCTGCTCAGAGGGACGGTGCCGACGAGCGCCTCGTGGCTCTTCTTCTCGCACGTTCCCGTCTGCATGTTGCAGGTGTAGCCCTGAGGACAGCAGTGCTCGTGGTCCGCACAGCAGACCGCCTGAAAAAAGGACACAGAAGAAGAAACTGATATATAATTAACAGATATGGATTGAACCACAACGCTTTAGTGACCAAAAACAAATGGTTTAAACTCAAATCTGTAAGGTTTTATAACATCAGAGCTCGCATCAACCAAACTCCATTCAGAAAACGAGCATTTTAAAAGCACTTTTTGCAGATCTGCATCTTAATGTCGTTATTTCTGCATCTTTTTGATCCGTTTATTGACATTAAATCTCTTTATTTTGGGCTCAAACCAACGTTATAAGCCAGATTTAAAGGGCAAATATTTGCCTCGCGACACTCTTACGCGATTGTAAACAATGGAACTATTATTAATTTCCATGAAAAGTAATCAGACCTTTATTTATTTATGTAGTGAAACAGTAAAGTCATTGTTTTTATCATCTGAAATAAAAAAAGCCTTAAACAACTGACATGTAGTTTATTCCTAAATTAAACTTCAAAGTCAAAGACCAACAGATCTGTTCTACAGGACTTTATAAAATCTTACTTTGAGCCATTCCATTTAGATTTGTGCCGTCATTACATCGTCATTAACTGATCTTCCTCACTGTTGCTGTAACATTTACTAACGAACAACCTCGGGGATGTACAGACCTTGACGAGCGGGCAGCAGCCCCACTCTCCCGTCTGCAGCTTGCAGCAGGTCGTTCCCGAAGCGCAGCTGCTCTTGTCGTCACATTTTACGTCGGTCACGTCGCCCGGCTCGCTCTGGGCGCTCAGTTTGGCGAACCAGGGTATGACGTGGGGGCCCTTTGAGCAGGAGGACCGGTGAGGCTCGCAGGTGTGGCCGCTGGGGCAGCAGTGGTTTCCATCGTTACAACAGACCGCCTGAGGAACAGCGGAGGGGTGAACTCTCTGAACGTTACTCTCTCTGTTCGTGTGCGAGGACGTTTAAATGAGCGCTTACCTTCGGCAGAGGGCAGCAGCCCCATTTGTGGGTCCTGTCCATGAAGCAGCAGGTCGTATCCTTGGGGCAGCTGGTCGTGGCGTCGCACATGTTCCTGGCCGGCCGAGTTGGACCGGAAACAGCCAGACTGGACTCCGTCTGAAGGGCCGGGACCTTCCGCAGCCAGGGCAGGCTGAGGCCGCCGGGCCTGTCGCAGGTCTGCTCAGTCACGTTACACTTGTAGCCTTTGGGGCAGCAGTGCTCGTGATCGTTACAGCACACAGCCTGAAAACGAGAGGGAATGGCCCTTTAATGACGCCTGACGTCCCCGGAAATAACAGCCCAACAGAGAGTGGGACGTTTCATGCAACAAGACTTCCAACAAAGTCAAAGAATGCCTGAAATATTCGTCTATATAAAATATCTCGTATGTCTTTAATCTCCTTTCAAATCCACAAACACAGAAACGTCTCCTGAGTGAATTCATGATTCATTTTAAGTCCTTCACTTTTATTTATTTCCCCTTTTTCAGTTTGCTATAAAGAAGAACGAGAGCTTCAGCCTCCGTTATTAAAAGAAAAGAAGCCAGTCAGAGTGAACGCAGCGTATTAACTCCTCCCGCCCTTATACCACTATTACAGTTGACACTCTACAAGAACAAGCCTCCCCTCAGCACCTCCACACACACCAGGATCATCTGCTCTACAGGCCCTACTGACCCGAGGTAAGGGGCAGCACTGACCCGAGGTAAGGGGCAGCACTGACCAGAGGTAAGGGGCAGCACTGACCAGAGGTAAGGGGCAGCACTGACCAGAGGTAAGGGGCAGCACTGACCGAGGTAAGGGGCAGCACTGACCTGAGGTAAGGGGCAGCACTGACCCGAGGTAAGGGGCAGCACTGACCCGAGGTAAGGGGCAGCACTGACCTGAGGTAAGGGGCAGCAGGCCCAGAGTCCAGGGCCTTTCTTACAGCAGGTGGTGCCTCCGGGACACATCGTCTGCCTGTCACATTTCTCATCCTGAGTCTCTGACGTCAGGGCCGAAACCTTCGCCACCCAGCGGAGGGACGGCGAGGAGCCCGAAGGGTCGTCACAGCGCTCAGCCTCCAGGTTGCAGACGGTCCCGTGAGGGCAACAGTGGACGTGATCGTCGCAGCACACAGCCTGACACAGGAACACAGACCGGTTAACAAATTATGTTTACTGCTGCATAAAGACCTGATAAAGGTCCAAATACTCACTCTTGGTTCTGTGTTTCATTGTTTAAGAAATATTTAAATGTTTTGTTCACTCGGATGTTAAAACCTGTTTTGTTTTACCTGTAATTTGAGGCCAAGTGCAATTTATGCAACTTATTTAACTTTCATTTTGTATGTTTAAGAATCGGAAAAACTACTCACATAAGTGCGACTTGGAAACATTCCCACATTATTCCAGGATTAATTAAGACTAAATTTGATATTTTTATACTGTAGCATGAAGCATTTGAGCTTGTTAACAAGTGAAACCAGATCATAAAGCTTTGCAGCTCAAAATCAAGATAAATGCCCAAATATTTACTTATTTAAATGTTTTGTTCACTCTGATGTAAAAACTGTATTGTTTTATATCTAATTTGAGGCAATAAAGGCCGAGTGCAGATCATTTAAATGTAACTGTGTATGTTTGAACCAATAAAAAACAGGTATTAATGGAGGTGGAATAGTTGTTCCTCAGTTTGAGCATAATGTTGTTTTAGATGGCGAGATTAACCAAAGTGCATCCATACAACTGCATTATTGATAGTTCAGTTATTTATGAGCTTGGATCGGTATCGGCAGCGTTGGTGTCACTTGAAGCTAAAAAAAGCAATAACTAAGAGATGTTGGGGTGAGTCTGGATAATAAAGGAAAGGAAAAGGAAACTGACCTTTTCTCTGAGGCTTTGTATTGATAAATAATAAAGTATATATTAAAGACACGCTGGGTTTGGCCATAAGATAGCAGTCAGTTTCAGTCTACCTGATGCTCTCTCTCTCTCTCTCTCCCTCTCTGGGTCTGGGACTATAAGAGTCCTGAAAGTCAGCCTGAACATAAAGCTGAGCTGCTGCACCAATAACATCAGAGCTGTGTTGAATTGCCCCCAGTGACGTACAACTAACATCACTGCGGTTGTATTTATGAACCACAACAACAAGAACTCTGATCATTATTAGGCTGTATGTAAACCCGCTATGTGTCGTACATTTCATCCCACAAACAGTCGAGTTTAAAATAAAATACACATCCAGGTTTACGATCTGAGAGAGGGGATAAAATACTAACATTTCCAGGATTTCTGGTCATTTTAATATCAATTTCCAGGTTTTCCAGGATGCATGGGAACCCTGACAATAAAATCTTAATGTTCATATTTTATGTATTTATATCATCCTGTACTGTATCTGTTCCACTAACAAATATGAAAAAACTCCTCATGAAATGCTCTCACTCTCTTTAAGAAATCATTTTCCAGGACCTTTTCCATGATCAAGCACTTGGTGTCCTACACTGTTACTACTACAAACTGTAAATATTGACAGATTTAACTAGTTTTATTCCTCCTTTTTTGTGTCTAAAGTTTGAAACTAAATATACTAAAGTTTTCCAGGACAACAGAGATTATTTCCAGGATATTTGGTCATTCAAATCAGTTTCAGGTGTTTCAATGACTGGAGAACTTGTCGTTGGTCCCGTGTTACCTGAGGCAGCGGACAGCAGGCCCAGTCTCCACTCGCCGTCTTACAGCAGGTGGACTTTCCAGGACAGGATGTAGATTTGTCACACTTGCTGTTCTCCGTCAGCAGAGGGAAGACGGGCACTTTGCTCAGCCACGGCATCACGGCGCCGCCGGCGGGGTCGTCGCACGTGGAGGCCGCCAGGTTGCAAGTGGTGCCGTGGGGACAGCAGTGCAGGTGGTCCTCACAGCACACAGCCTGCAGGGAGGAACACGTCGGAGTAACGATACACAAACTTCACTATTTAGCAACTTAAAAGCTAAAATAAAACGTGTCCCTGAGTGTTTGACCTCCATTAACGGACGAGCTAAAACTCTAAACTCTAAGACAGGAGAACAAGTGTTTGGTAATTCTTTGCAGCTGGACGGCGAGCCGAACAGTGCCAGCATGACTCATACGCGTCGGTATGTCGGTACCTTCGGTAGCGGACAGCAGGCCCATTCTCCCTCTGGAGATTTACAGCAGGTGTTTCCGTCAGCGCACGCCACCGAGTCGTTGCAGGGAACCGCGCCGGCTGAAAGAGCAACAAGAGGCATTCACAGATTTAGCTTTTATTATGTTTTTGGACTCAGTTTTTCAAAATAAAAGTATGTTTCACTTTGTCAGACCGTTCCCAAAAAGCACAAAAACATAAAACTGACAATAATGTCTAAGAAACAAAATAAAGTAGCAGAATGAAAATACATTCTGAAATAAAAACGAAAGAAAAAGTTAATAGATCTCAATTCTATTCGATTTAAAGTTGTACGTCAACATTTGTTTAATTCCTTAGTTTGCTTCTGGATGAGGATTTTTGAAGCAGTCTCTTATATGTGTGGTAGGACAGTAGATCTTATAGCCCCATAAGGGCTGTTTCTGGGGGTATCTGTATCAGAGGGGGCAATTTATAGACACCGTTGTACACAAGAGATCTAATGAAACGATACTGTACACAGAGCCAGTCGATGTTAATAATTATCTACAACCTCATTGTGTGTGTCTGTTTTTGTTTGTTATTTTTCTCTTTTGTAATAAATAATATATTTGTGTACTCTCTATCACTTTAAAGAAAGGTTTCCTTAACTTAAGGAACTCTAACGTCCTGAGTAATGAAACAAAGAGTCTCCAGATATGCAAGTTATCTTAAAACCACCTGATGCCATTTCATTAACCCATTCTTTGATTTTTAAAGTACCTTTTACTTTACTAAATGTTTGTCTTGTTTTCTTCTGGTTTTGTAATGTTGGTTTTAAAAGTGCTCTATAAATAAAGATGATTATTATTTATCTTTCCAAGAATTAATTATTTTACTAAATTCCCAAATACGACGATTTAGGGTTCCTTTATACTCGTTACACTGAGTGTGTCTGGTGTATTGTTGAGTATAAATAGTTCAGAACTTTTAATTTACCCTTTGTCTGTGCGACCACCAGCTCCGTCACAGCGGCGGGAATCCTAACGGCCGCGCTCGACTCTCCCAGCGCCGACACACAGGCGCTGTGGAGAAGGTCGCACTTGGTGCCTTCAGGACAACAGTGGATGTGATCTGAACAACAGACGGCCTGAAAGAAAAGAGGATCTTAATCAGTGTATAGAAAATATATTCCTCTGAACATTCACTGCAGTGTGGAGCAGAAAACCTCTTAACGATGATTGGTGTGTAAATGATCAGATATTTGTTAATTAAAGTTGATTGATATGATTTGAAGAAAAAGATTCTCAAGAGTGATTTGATACGACGATTAATTCAGTTACTTTTAGGCGTCGCCTTACTTTTTATTGTACATTGTTGTTAATGTAGATCATGTGATGTTTTTCCTTATATTTTTATATTTTTTTATATTTTATTTCAATTTCATTCAACCATTTTTCTACCTTTAATTCTATATTTTTTTAGCAGCCTATTGATTACAAATACATTTATTTAGAAGATTGTTTATGAGAAATACAAAGATAATCTTAATGAATGAATGAATGAATGAATGAATGAATGAATTTAACCCATGTGACATTTAGGGTGTGGAAAGGGAGGAAGGAGGGAGATTTTAAAGACTAAAGATTAGTGAAACTCTTTCTTTCCCTCAGTTGGTTCATTGAACGTACAATTATCAACCACAATTAAATAAAATAAAACATTTTCCAGGACAACCTGGAGATAATTTCCAGGATATTTGGTCATTTTTTCCAGGTCGCTTGGGGAAACGATGTTAAGAACAGAGCTGTACGTTTTTCACAATAACTTCTACAGAACATCAAACAACCTTCACTTATTAACGAGGGATTAAGTTACTCACGTTGGGCATTGGACAGCAGCCGTACGTGCTGTTGGTCATCTGGCAGCAGGTGGTCTGGTCGGGACACGCGGTTTTCTTATCTGGACACATGACTGACAGGACGACAAGAGACACCAGATCAATACTCGCTTCCTGTCGACGTATCAACCGACATTAATCTGGGTCACAGCTGATCTTACCGTCGTTGGGTACGGCGGAGATCTTCTTCAGCGGCGCCACGTGCGTCTCACTGGACTTGCAGACGCCATGCTCCAGGTCACATATTGTGTTGCTAGGGCAACAGTGAATGTGATCACTGCAGCACATGGCCTGCACGTGGTTACAATATCAAACAGGAAGTAGAGAATCAACAGTTGGTCATTTCAGTTCAGAGCAAGTCTGCCTTTGATGTTTGTGGGATATAAACTGCTTCAGTCTCACACCATTAACCTTTATTATTATTATCATTTTTATTATCATCATTATTATTACGGTTGGCAGGGAGTAATAAGTAAATTAATAACATTACTTTTGAATACTAGTAATGAACCTAACACTGGTGGGGACTTGGGTTGGGGAGCAGAGGGTCGATGGTTCAAGTCAAGCATGGACCCCAGTATACAGTGTGTATGGTTGTATTTCAGGCCTATAATTAATTTATATATTTTATATATATAAAATATTTTAATATTATAATAATAGAGAAAAAGCAGCAAACTCTCACATTCGACATGACTTAATCAAATTACTGATATAAAACTGTAGGTGATTAATTTTCTGTCGATTAACAATTTAATCAATAGTTTCAGCTCTGATATGTGATACGTACGTCTGGGTAAGGGCAGCAGCCGTAATCTCCACTGGTTAACAGACAACATGTGGAACTATCCGGGCAGCTGCTTTTTCCACCAGGACAAGTCACCAAACTGACTGTAGAAACATGAAGTCGTTGGTTATTAGTAGAGTATCGTCAGCATACGGCTGTAGACAGATTATATATCAGTGACTTTTAAAAACCTTTCTACAGGTTAAAAGATTCATTTCAAGTGGATATTTGGCCTGATGTGAGTACATGAGCATTAACTGTGGTTGGCTTCTTTGTAGGAGTTTATTTACATGAGGAACCCCACCCACCTGTATTATTGTCTCTCCTTCTGGCAGGCAGTTTCTCCAGCATTGGGAAGGACTGCAGTGAGGCAGACACACATCTTGAGTGAGCAATATCACACTTCGTTCCCTCGGGGCAACAGTGGAGCTTATCCTCACAACACACCGCCTGTAGAGAGAAGGAAATCATTTCAGACAGTCGGGAACACTCTTCGTCAAGGACACAGTTTCCTGCCGACGATGAAAAAAGTACAAATGCTCAACTTGAGGATTACAAACATATGACAAGCAAATAATTCAGATATTAAACAGTTTTGGCACAATTAATCAAATACAAACCACGATTTAGGCTCCCCACAATTAAATAAACGTGATTGTCTACGATATTGACGTTTAAAATGCTCGGTTTATAGAAAACTGGTGTATAACAAATCAAGTGCTTCCTAAACTAAAAACCAGCCACCACGGGTGATGAAAATGTTCTGGTTTCACTTCTGGATACTTTTATTCCCAGAAAATCTTCTATATTAACCTACTGTGAACAAAAAACAAACATTTCTTACTGCTGCAGCTTCACATTAAAACACTGGCCGATCTCAATAATGATCAAAACAATCGTGATTATCACTTTGGCCGTAATAGTGGAGCCCAAATACCCAGAGAATCAGTTTTGAACACCTTCAAAATAACAGCGAGCAGAGCATCAAACACTGCCTATCAGAGCATGTGATATGCTTCTGGGTGTGAAGTGCTCGGGGTTTGTGGTTTTAAGTGTTTTAGTGAGTGTGTGTGTGTGTGTGTGTGTGTGTGTGTGAGCTCATGTGTATCACCTTCACTAATGGACAGCAACCCCAGGAGCCGTCGAGAAGCTGGCAGCAGGTGGTTTCATCCGGACACTCAGACGCCTGGTCCGGACAAATGACTGCCTTTACTTTGTCCCCGAGCTGGAGCCATCATACATCACAGCCCATGCATACCAACGACAGCAGCACACACAGACCAAAAGACACACAAAAACAACACGTTAACGACAGGATCGCAAATGTATTAACTGTGGAAACAGTTATTTAGTGGAATTTAAAAGGAAAAAGGCAGTAAACAGAGAGATTGAAGAGTAGTGATCTGACTAAAATTAGATTTAAAAAAATACATCCACATATTGAGACAGCTTTAATGATTAATTTAGGTGTTATTTAAATTAAGTGTGCATGAAACTAGTTAGCAAGTGAGCAGAGGCGATGAAACAGGTAATGAATAAAGTTTTTTTAGTACAAATGCAAACATTGACAGTTCAATTGTATGAAAACATCCACTCATATATGATTAATAGTTAAATACCATCCAGACGAAGAACCGCTCGTCGTTTAAGAGGCCAAACATTAAAGTGAACAATCTTTACTTGAGTTTTGACTTTATAAAAGGAATTACTATTTTACCAGTTGTTTAAAAACATGTATTTTAGATTACTTATTATTCTTCTCCAGTTTCACTGACTGCTGTTACACTTATAAGGATTTGTAGGGTGAGTATCCATCTTGTAAATTATGCTACATCTAATGTTTCATGTCCACTTTAAAGCATCACTGTGGTCAGAAGATTTCAGTTATTTATTGTGAGATAGTATGTTGTGTGTAGCGTTTATAATTTGGAGGATGCTATAAAAAAAGCTAATGAAAAGGAAGAGAGTTTAACCTTGGGGTAGCATAAATGTGCTCATTAGTCCATTAGCATTAATACTTGTTATTTGGTCCTTTGAATAAGCACAAATATACAAGTGTTGGTCGAGGGGGAATCTCGACCTCTTGGTGACAAACTGGGGTCAACAAAGCCGTTAAAAAATTATCTTATGAGGTCAAAGAATATCTTTGAACCAAAAATTGATCAGAAACAAGAACAAAAAAACAAAAAATGCACCAAACTTTCCCGAAAGAGCAACAAGATTGTTTTCTCTTTTACTGCTACACTTCAATAATAGAGGACTTATTCTATACGCTCTTTGTATTGGACAACAGTAAAGAGAGATAAGAATAAACAAAGCGCCAATGCAGCAGATATAATGGCGTCAAATGACCTACATTCTTCAAACAATTAAATTATCACGTCTAAAGTCGAGCTCGAACTTCAAGCCTCATTGATTCGAGTGCAAAGGTCGACAAACAGCCCAGATGAGCTCAGAGGAGACAGTAAAGCATTGTTAGAAATACCTGAGGGATGAGCAGAGCCGGTTTGGTGGGAACTCGTGTCATCCAGGGCAGAGAGACTGTCTTATTGACACATTTGGAGTGAACGAGATCACAAACCGTCCCCTCGAAACAGCAGTGGAGGTGATCTGAACAACACTCAGCCTACAGCGGAGAGACAAAGGTTTAACTGAAGACACAAACACACCTTAAATCCTACAAATAGTGTCTATCAGACTCTTTCAAACACACCCAGCTCATAGTCGTACATCCACAAGTGATGGCTGAAGCTGCAGTGATTACAGTACTAGTAGTATTGTTGGCTACGGCTATGAACCACATCTATCTGCGGGTACGTAGAGTAACTTTAACCTGACCCGTCACTGAATGGACCGACTCACATGTGGCAGTGGACAGCATCCGTATCCACCCATGGTGTTCTTGCAGCAGGTGTCTCTGTCCTCACACATGCCTCCATCAGGACAGACCAGCGCTGTGCTCAGGCCCAGCAGAGCCAGACACAGGATCCCCATCTGCAGAGTCTGAGCACCAGGAGACGACTGTCAGAAACTGAGCTTTACTAATACACAAGAGTCCTGAGACTATTGTCAACAGATTCTATCTAATCTTCACAGTTTCTGTGTTTCTTTCGGGGTTGTGAGAAACCACCAAATCTCTGTGGAGGACGATAACCAAGGTGACAAAAAGGTACAGCAGCTCAGCAAGCATTCCTGCTGATAAACTGGATTTCAACTCTGAGCCAACACAGATCTGCTGCAAAGTTCATGTCCCTTTTTATGTATCTATAGCACCCGTATGTTCTGCTTTTTATATCCCAAACAACTGCTATACAGTCACTTAATAAACATACTGTTGGTCCTTTAGCACTCAGTTAGTCAGCTGCAGATTGTAGGGCTGAAACTAACGATTATTTTGAGTAGGAATGAATAATTTAGTGAATGACTGCTTCCTTTGTCTCAGTGACAGTCTAAAACCTAAAGATACTCAATTTTCTGTCGTACATGACAAAGAAAAACAGCAAATGAGAAGCTGGAACCACATATCTTTAGCATTTTTTCTTCATAAATTAATAAAACAATTCCCTTATTACCAAAATATTTAATTTTCTGTCTTTCAGTTGATCAATTTATAGAGCAATAGTTGCAGCTCTATACATGTTGTACTGTTCTAAAGAGGTCTGTTGAGTAACCATATCTGATAACTAACAAAGATTGCACAATTCAAGGAGACAAAAATGGTTATTCAGCATTAAAGGAAGAACATGACACAAATGTTGAGTTATGGGTCGACTTCAGCTCGTGAACAGCTGCAGGACTGTGGTCGACTGATAAGGAACTGAAGAAAGTATTTATACACAGCGGAGTGTGTGACAGCGACCTTAAAGACCTTAAATAAAACAGGAAAATAGCAAATAAATGTGCATCACAGCTCCCAGAGCCCAGAATATTCATATACTGTTGATCATATATTTCCAATATTAAACAGTAAAAAAGAAGCCATACACAAAGTGGAAATATATATTTTATAAAGACATGGTCAGATAAGATTTAGATATTCTGTGAGTGAAGACCGGCTGATTTAAACATATACACAGTAGGACAAGAAAACACAGAATATGTCAAAAAAGAAGCTCAAGAAATGATAAAAAATACATAATAATGTACAAAAAATGCCCTTAACTGGAGAAAATCTGCTCATAATTCACCCAAATCACTCAAAAACATCTTATTCACTGTACAGTTTTTAATATAACATAAAATATGTCACTGATTCAGTTTAATAAATGATAGAAAAGCTGTTGGTTTAAAGTCCAGTCTCCTTTTACAACGTTACCTAAAACAAGCCACAAACAGTCCTGCAGCTATGAACCCCTCTCTTTAGCTGCTGATGCATTAATAATGAGACAAACAGTGAGTGTACTTTACCATCATCAGCAGAATGAGTCGTTATGAGCAGAAAGAAGCCCAGAGCTGCATACTCCTCTCACAACCTGAACAGCACCAGATAAAAAACCCCATTAGTCACCACGATACTGAGAGGAAACACCCCGCAGAGTTACAATGAACACAGTCCTTTAACGCGTAAACACACACTGCAACACCTGACACAAGACGGGACTAACTCTCCTGTATCGATTATCGATTATCGATCAGCAGCTTTCTGTAATCCAAAAGACAAAAACAACTCAGGCTAGGTTAGCATGCTAGGCGGCTAACAATAAAGCTAGCCGGTTTGAATTAACTTCAGCCGACAGATTTTTATTATTTCTGCGCGGGAAACTCACCTGATAGTTGTTGTTGTTGTTGTTGTTGTTGTCTGTTTAACGTCGCTGCACAAACATTCAGAGCACTCTGTGAAGATCTTTTATTTATTTTACACAAACAATTCAGTTATCACATGACCCACAGCCGCACGTGACTGCGCAGTGTGGATTTAAAGGGACATTACACTGCGCAGGGGGCTTCGGTTGCTGGGATACGTCGCCGCCATATTGGGTGACTGTAAACAAACACAACCGGGTAAACAAACAAACAAACAAACAAACAAACAACGTTAACGCTTCTCCACCGATTTCATTAAAATGCTCAGGAGCTGCTGCCTGTTGGTCACATTTATAAATATTATAATAATAAGTTATTTAAGTTTATGTAAGAAAAGAAAAATATAAGATATAATAAAAAGTTCTATGTACAATATATAAATCTTTATTTATACAGGCGTGAATAACATAAAATACATTATTATATATATATACAGCAGTATAGTTTAGGAACATAGACATATGGCTGTAAATATACAGTGGGGGTCTAATATTAATAATGTTTATGTAATAAATTATACAATTATAGCCTATTAACTATTTTACAGATTCTGATTAACTGGAGACAAAAATAATCCATGTTTATTTTACAAGTTTGCATATGAAAATATGTTTTTTTGCTACTAGTTTATTTGTATTTGTTAATAAAAGCAAATAGTGTTCAGCTCGATGCCACTAAATCTCAATTCTTCAGAGTTTGATTCATTTATAATTTCTTTTTGAGCATTTTTTATGTTAATTTAACAAGATTAACTTTTTTGTGCGTGGTGGAAACTATAAATATTATTTTACATATAAAGATTAATCTTTGTACTTTATCAGTCAACCTTTAGTTAGTTCAGCTTTGGTACTTTTATGTGTTGTTTCACGTTAAATTTTGAGTAATTTTTAAACACATAATCTCTCATAACAGAATAAAATCACAGACGTTGACAGACCGTGGGAACAAATTTATTTCTATTTCGTCTCATGTACAGAAAGAATCAGTTTACAGTTTACAAACAACTGACCAGGTTTATGAAGCAAATGATTTTACTGCACAGGATGAAGGCCTACAGTTCAATCTCCTCCCGACCCTCACGTGTGGTTGTACTACCAAAACAAAATGTAAAATAAAAATCCAACAAAGGAAGGTTTAACGTGTCCTCTCAGGGATCCAGTTCACAAAAAAACCTACTGAGAAAACAGATTTTCCTCATGTGAAACCAACAAAAACAAGCCAGGAAAAAGCCACAAATGCACAACTCATAATTAATTCCATATCTGGTCCAAAAAACGTACATTTACAGCAGTGGGACACGACAGTTCAGTAGGAATCATGGCTGTTTTTTACTCTTCAGACTCTGAATTACATCACATTTTCAGTTTGTACTGTAGGCTACTGACACAGGCGTATGAACAGCAAGCAAATGGTGAAAGAGGACCAACAAGTCAGCGTGACTTTTATACAGCTTTCAAGATTTTCACTTCAATAAATCAACCTGGTACGACGGAGTATTAGGCCCAGACTAAGAGAATTTTTTTCGGGGGGGATTATGAGAATAAGGTCGTAATATTAGGTCTACAAGAATAAAGTTGTAACATTACGATAATAAAGTCATAACATTAGGTCTAGGAGAATAAAGTCGTAACATTACGATAATAAAGTCGTAACATTACGATAATAAACTCATAATATTAGGTCTAGGAGAATAAAGTCGTAACATTACGATAATAAAGTCATAATATTAGGTCTAGGAGAATAAAGTCGTAACATTACGATAATAAAGTCGTAACATTACGATAATAAAGTCGTAACATTACGATAATAAACTCATAATATTAGGTCTAGGAGAATAAAGTCGTAACATTACGATAATAAACTCATAATATTAGGTCTAGGAGAATAAAGTCGTAACATTACGATAAAATCGTAACATTACGAGAATAAAATCGTAACATTACGAGAATAAAGTCGTAACATTAGATCTACGAGAATAAAGTCGTAACATTACGATAATAAAGTCGTAACTTTACGAGAATAAAGTCGTAATATTACAAGAATATTTTATTTGCTCATCCAGCAAAACTGTTTAAATATTGCGACTTTATTCTCGTAATTTCCAAAAAGTTTTAGTCCGGCCCTAATACTCCGTTGCAACCTGGAAATAAAAAAACAACAAAAAAAAAACCTTCAAGTTTTATAAACCGTGGAGCTTTTTGTTAATTACGAATCTGCTAGATGACATAATTAAGTTCACAGTTGTTGATGCGTCGTAGGCAGTGGTGATGCTAGTAACAGCGGGCGCGTGTTGGTCAGTATGTTATTGTTGTAAACAATTACGACCGGAAGTGAATTTTTGTTAGAACTGGATTAAGGGAAAATAAAAATAAAATTAAAATCAGCGTGTCTTCATATAACCGAGTTCATTTGGCAATTCAATGCATCAGTGCACGTCACATTATGGTGCCAAACATCCTGGATCGAAGGTTTTCATTGAAAAAAACACCCTATTCTACATGTTACATGCACATCGTATACACATTAAAATCTCATATAGTTCATCATACCATTTACAAGTTTGGTGAAAAAAGAGGAATAGATACAATAAAATCAAGATATTCAAGGACGTTAACAGCCGCAAGAAAAGGTGTTGGTTTTTTTTGGCAGGCATGCTCCCCAGAGTGACGCGAGTCATTGTTAACCACAATGCAGTGTGCTTATTAGTGCCGGCCGAGATCGACAGCTTCGTTTTCGGTGACGACTGACTGCATTTATTTGTATTTATGTTTTTAAAAAGGGACCTGCATGCCTATCACTCGATCCTATGTGAAAGAAGGCACTTACAGGAGAGAAGTGGTACAGGCTCTGTCGACTAAAACAACCCCCTGTAAATCTCAGCAGAATATTAAACAGGTGAGTCTTCAAGTAAAGTGATGTTTTTCTGCTCAGCCGTGTCTTACTTTCTCTTGGCGATTCGAGGGAGTTTGTCAACGCATGAGCCCGAAGAACTGTGGGGGGGCCTTTTGGTGCCTTTCTGTTTATTTCATACATTCATATTGTATGCATGCAGCCTTTCTATACCAAAAAAAAATGGTCTTTCAAACGTCCGGGAATCTATTTACACAACAAAACTAATCGAAAAAGATGTCTTCTGTTGGCCTCGAAAAATCTCTCAACAACGGGAGAAAGGCAGAAGATTTTGGCAGAATTGTAGATCGCTGCGATAAATCGATAACAGAAAAGGATGACGTTTTTAAATGTCTGAATAAGTAATCTGAACACATGAACACAGTACAGGAGGAAGAGGAAGTACATCCCTGCAGGAGCAAAATGCAAGTCGGACTTTAGAGATCGCATTATCCGTTCACAGGGACTCAAGAAAACAAAGGTTGACTACATATTCAAGCTCGTTTCCTTCAAAGAAAACTTATCCGAGTTACAGTTTAGGGAAGTAGTCAAGGAAACACATCCATTAATATGAACCTTTATCCAGGGAAGGGAATCTAATTCACCTAAACAAACCCATAAAAAAGAAAGGTCATCCACTTTCAAATACTTGTTAAGTATCAATCAATCGATTATCAAATTATTAGTAAGTGCTTTATTCTTATATTTTGCTCTATAAAATGGCTATTTCCACAGTCAGTATTTGCGATGGCTCAGACGATGGTTCAGTGGTGTGAAAGGTGACAGAATTCACAACAAACTGGGAAGGTTTCAGTACACAACAGATCATCTCAGTGGAAACCAGAAGGATTAAGTGACAGTGATACTACGAGAGTCATCAGAAAGTGCAAAAAGCACCTCACCAGGAACACAAAGGCCAGACAACAACCTGAAAATGGACCAGTGAAGCGTGGTTGTGCTTATCGCGATCTCTCTCGGTGAAAACATCGCTCTTCTTCCATGTTTGATGTGGACAGATTCCCCCTCAGATCCCCAAAAAGATTGTTAAAAGGTCCAAGTGTTCACCAAGTTCAAAAGAGGCTCACTTCCTGGGGTGGAAGACCATCAGAGGCCGGTCTTCGATCTTCTGCCAGGGGCTCTTCTTGTTCTCGTCTTTGTCATCGGGGTCGTCCTCGGGGCTCGTCATGGAGTCGCGGCGGTTCTCGCTGTTGCTGCTGCGGCTGCTGTTCACTCGGCTGCGTCCCCTTCTGGGGATGGTGGATCCTCGGGAGGACGGACCTTCGTCAAGGAGCGGGGTGAGGGAGTTCTCCTCGGGTGAGACCGGGCGTCCCTCGCTGCTGCTGCTGGGCTCGCTGTGGTCAGGGTAGGCCAGCTTGGAGTAACTCTTCCCGCCGCCGCTAACACCGTGGCCCTTACGCCCTCCTGTCCCCCAGCGCTCGTCTTTTCCCTTCCGATTGACTGCCGACTTGCGTTCTTGGGACTCCAGAGGTGGTTCGAGGTTGACGTCTCGGCCAGCGCTGCTGGGACCACCTAAGAATCCACCACCGCCGCCACCGCCGCCACCACTGAGGTCATTCCCAGCATCTATGTAGGAATGGCGCACGTGAGCGTTATTGCGTCCATCCAGCGAGATGAACCACGCCCTCGGGTGCTGTTTAACACCCAGCTCCAGCAGCTTCTTCTCCGTCAATGCCTGCAGTTCCCCGTTCATCTGAGCCATGGTGGAGTCGTTAAAGAGCACCGGGATGGTCACCGGTCCACCGGAGGAGTCAGACGCCCAGCTCGGCTCCTCTGAGTCGTCGCCTTGGGATCCGCCTTGCTGCTGTTGCTGCAGTTGGCCTTGTTTCTGGGAGTGGTGGTGATGATGCTGCTGGCCTCCTCCCATCTGAGCGCCGTCTTTGTCTTGATCCTTCTGGTCTTTGCCGTCTTTTCCGGAGAACTCGGAGGGCAGGCGCATATAGTGGGCTGGGATGACGAGGGTCGGCACCATGCTCCGGTACATGTTCTCCTTCATCTGGTCAATGGAGCTGCAGAAGATGATCTGACCTGGTTGGGTGTTGAGGGACGTGGGTCTGGCGAGACTGTCCGCAGCTGCTGCCGAATATTCTGGCGGTTTGTCCGACTGGCTCGGCACATAGCCTTGGAAGCGAGGCGGGGACGGCGGATCGGAGGAGTATCCTCGATTGTCGTTGGCGTTGTGGTGTCGGTGATATTCGGACTCCTTGCCCTCCATGGGGCTGTAGCTCCGGTTGTAGTCTTCATGCAGCAAAGGGTTGTCCAGGTTGTTGGTTTCTGTGGCCCGTGTGACCTTCATGGGGAAGCTTTCACCACGTTGTGGACCCGACGCGTTCTTTCCCTTCGCGTGTCGCAACATGTGAGCTGGAACGTGTTTGGTCAAGTCCTCCCTCGAGCTCTGGTAGTCTCGAGATGGGGACATTTCGGATTTGTCGTTAGAGGGTCCGGACTCTGCGTGGCCTCCGCAGATCAGATTGAGGCGCGACGTGGACGTACCCTGGTCTCGCTTAGCGCCGTTCAGATTGGCCGTGTGGGGTTTCCCTTGCTGTCGACGAGGTTTTAAGCACTTCCGCCTGAAAGATAAACAAACACTGAAAGTCAAAGGTGAAACAAAAGCCTGACTCGGGATTACAAGAAGAGTCTAATAACGAGAACCTAAAATTAAACCCACATTCACATAAGAGTGGACCCTTCTTAAGCCCCGCCCCTTTTGAAACCATGTAGTTTTCAACATAGATTAGCCTAGCATGTAGCATATGTAAGTACATGAAAGGAGGAAGTAGACCGAAGCTTGCTCAACTGTCATTGGAGCGCAGAGCCAAAAGGGGGCGGGGCTTAAGAGGGGTCTGTTATCAACACCATCATTTTTGCTATTGATAGAAACCTAAAACTGAGACCTGCGCCTACGCTCCCCACACCTGCAGTAGTAGAGCAGCACACAGAGCAGGATGAGCACCAGCAGGGCCAGCGAGCCCAGGATGGAGAGCAGGAACAGGGTGTGGTAGGTAGTGATGTCCCTCAAGCCCGGATGAGACAGACCCAATCCTGCAAGACAATTCAGAAAGAATCACTTACCTCCCTCAACATCGACATACTGATGCTGTGTAAATGTTTAAAAGCAAATCATATAAAGTTAAAACAGAGGAAACACGAGGATATATTATATTTGTTGGGGACTATTTTCAGCTGCGGATTAATCCACATTTGGTGCTCTAGTCAGTATTTGGGGCAGCAGGACGGTGTATGTGGGTTTGATTTAAAATAAACTGTGTGTGTTTATGGTAATGAAGGAACAACAGTGAGGCTCACTGATGTGGTTTTAATAGATCTTGGAACAACAGTAGAGCTCTTATGGCTCAGAGGAAGAACACATATCAGGCTCTGGATGTATAGGATCACTAATTTGGGTCAATTCATTGTTGGTTTTGGTCTTTTCATGAGATTAGCTTACAATAAGAAACATATAGAACATCACAGGCCTCATACTTTTAAAGGGAAAACATGTTAATGAAATCTCTCCATGCTGCTGCGGATTCATCCAACAACACCTGGCCTTCAGCACCAAACAAGAGCATTACATCTTGTCACCCTAGAGACTCACAGTACACAGGAACATCTGCTGGCTCAGCAGCAGCACTGACAGCAGAGTGGAGGGAGGGTGAGGAAGAGCTACGGTACCTGAAGACGAAGGGAAGGCGGCTAACCAGTATCCCATCTGAGGAACCACAACGTTCCAGATGAACTGGTTTCCCTCCTTTTTGATGTATCCGGTCCCGTTCCTGACCCACAGTCCTATAGAAAAATATATGAATCACAGACTGATACTGCAGTTACAGATATAACCGTAGTTCTGTGCCATAGGTAGAGTCTCTCACCCGTCTTAGGCTGATACAGCCAAGCAGGTACACTCGTGGCCATCCTGTTGCGGGTGTCGGACGGCAGCGGCACAGAGATGTGGATCGGATCGGAGACCTGGATCGCGCCGCCGTCTTTGTCGAAGAGCTGGATGCTGACCACGGCCAAACCCGTCAAGTCCGTCCACCCGGTTTCTGCACCTGAGCCGAAAAACAGTCTCAGATATCAGTTTCAACCACGAGGCTGTTTATCAGAGGGTGAAAGGCTCTTTTACATGTTAAATAATAACATAAACTTTAAAAATAACAATTTAATTTAGTTTTCTTCACATGAATGAATGAGATGCTGAGATTTAGACTGTGTGTGTTATTTCTTACATCCTTCAGAATCAAGTCAAATGTCTCTCTTATTATCAAAGACAGTGAAGATACTTTACATGTCAAAAAGTATGCGGACACCTGAACATTACACCCATATGTGACAGTAAATCTGAATCTATAACAGTCTCAACTCTTCTGATGTTTGACCCTCGCTGTTATTCACAATCAATCCCAGATGCCTCAGTACAGACAGACCTGAGCTGTTGGTCTCTTGGCCCAGGAGGAACGGGAACCCCCCGATCTCATACTGCGTCCTGGCCGTGGTCAGCGCAGCCGACAGCGCCGTGTAGTTGGAGTTGGACGGCAGCTGAAGGGACTTCCTCTGCAGCTGCACCAGCGGCTGGTTACGAGCTCCTGCACAGACACACAATCGCACATTCCTGGAAGTCTGGCAAACACCTCGTGAACCATACGTCTCGATATCATTTACAAGGCGTAACAACACGGACTGCACTGGTGTTTTACTGTATCACAGACACGAGGAAGTGGCTCTAAAACACTATAACAAAGTGCTCTGCTGCAGCTGTTGCTATGGTGATGGCAGCAGCAAAATAACACAGGGTCATTGAAATGTTACGCAGTGAAATCTGTGGAGGCCCGAACAGGGTGTGAATCTATCTTCACTCTCTGCTGGAGACCGACTAATTTAAGATGTGATGACAGAATAACGGTTGAAGGGTCAAACTGATTTCCCCCCCCAAGTGACCAAAATGGGATTCTTGTGTGTAAAAAGTGTAAAATATGTAAAATAATCTGTTTCTTCGTAATTCTTTAAAGATTGGAGTCATAAATCGTGACTCGGGTCCTTTGGGTCAGCTAAAAATCCTTCATAAAGTCAGTTTATAACAGAGAAGAGAGCAAACATCATTAAATATCCAGATTTCTGTAGAGAAAAAGGTTATTTTCTTTTATTTAATCTACATGTTTGGGGGCTTTTTCCCTCTTCATTAGACAGCTTGAGAGATGGACAGGTTGGACTCGAACCCCTGGACGCAGCAGCGAGGACTCAGCCTCTAATAAAAGTGTTTACCTGGTGACCCAGACAGCACCTGCAGGACGTCATCGTACAGAATGAGGGTTCCTGGCCTCTGAACGAGGAGATACAGGCTGACTGATGCATACACTATGAAGAGGAAGAAACACTGTAAGTTAACAGGTGGAGCAGCAACTCAACAAGCAAACCTCAACTTAAATGTCTTTAAATTAATGATAAAGAACACAAAATAAAAGTGGAAAATCTAGTAATTGTAACTTCAAATGTATTTGTGGAGCTAAAACCCAGAAGCTTGTTCCTAAATGTGATCGCTAGAAGGAAAAAGCTAACGTTAGCAGCTATAGACAGTAGGGTTGGGCGGTAATATGGTATACCGCGGGGTCTTAAAAATAGCAACGGTATCAGTTTCAATACCGTCATCAAAAAAAATGCAATGCACTTATATAGGAGACAAGGATTAAATATAATTTATTTAATGCCTAAAAATGCTTATGTGTGGTTGTCATCACGTGACAGTGTGGAGGAGAGAGAGAGAGAGACAGAGAGAGAGAGGGGGGGAGGGGGGAGATGGCAAGTTGCGCACTGAGTGACCTGGTATCAAAGAAGAACACACACTGCAGTCAGTGTTGCCAACTCCTCAGTAAAGAAAGTAGCTATTGGTTGTCCTAAAAGTCGCTAGAAGTCGCTAAATGACTTCATCGTCTAAGTTGCATAATTTGAAAAAAGTGAGTAAAAAAAACCCTAAATTTAATAAATTTAAATTTTTTAATGTATTTTTGGTGAGAGCGAGTGAAGAAACATTTACATTTACAGAGTGGGAACGGCGGTGGCCATGCGCGATTCATTTGCAGACTGGACGCGGAGTGGTGTGTGTCTCCTCTCTGACTGCAGGCTGGGACTGCTGCGAGGAGGCTACTGAGGCTGACCACCTGTGAGTGATTTTGGACGGGGGAGGGGCTCACGGCAGCACCTGCTGCTCGTTGAGCACAGTAACTGCAGAGTGATAAGTGCTTTCACGTCAGAGTCTCCAAACACCAGAAAAGTCTCCAATAACACCAGAAAAAGTCGCTAACTATTAAAAAACAGAGCACAGCAGACACGTCCAGGTTCCACATTTTGAGGAGGGACACCACATTCATCTTGTCCTTATTCGACCAGGCAGTGAAGAAAGCCAACTCCTGCCCATTCATGAATGTGGTGCTTTTCCTCAACCAGTTTGGCCAGAAGGACACTGAAGAGCTGGATCGGACAGACATTCTTGACCCATCGGATGTCAGGTCAGTGTCTGTCCACATGACCTGCAGTATTGCAGCAAAGGACCCTCACACACAGCTCCTGTTCTCGAGATTTGGCCTTGAAGACCTGGTTGGCTTGAATGGCATGCTCTTCAGCACACTGGGGATGCATGAGGCCACCAACTTCCAGAGCAATCTGGACCCCAGAGGCATGGATGTGAGCAAGGAGTTGCTGAGTGTGCTTGCACCACATGGCAAGTTCACATTTATGCAGCTCTATGTGGACTCACCACATGGTCACATCCAGATGCCCTTCAAGCATCCTGTGAGTGGTGCGATAGTGACGTGCAGGTTGTCTCACCATCACTTCCACAGTTCTGTGGCCTCACGGGCAGAGAACTGCCTGAGGAACATGAGCGACCTAACTGACAGGATGGTGGGTCAGCTGGAGTGCCGATTGGAGTGGTACGTTTTGAGGATGAAGTGCCACGAATACTCGACCCATCCGAGCACTTCAGTCTCTCCAGACTGACCTGCCTCCTGGAGGAACACGCACTCCTTCTCCCATTCCAAGACACTATAACCTTCACTTTGGTTTCAGTGCTCAGGGATGTCCTGCATATGGCGCATACCCTGAAACAAACCTTTGTGGACAACATCGGAGTGGCACGCTTTGATGCCACATGGAGGGCCTTCCAGTAGCTTGCACTTGAGGAGGTGCTCTACGGCCGTCCTCTTTCACCACTGGACTTCACACTAAGCGTGTCTCTTGGTACAAGTTCAGTGAGTGACAAGAGCCTCTCGAAAACAGCAAGGGTTCATTGGACTGGCACCTCACTCAAGTGCAACCTCAGAGGAAACACCACCACTGCTCCACCACTGGACCAGACAACCCCTCCAGGTGATGCGCATCGAGCGTCTATTTCCTCTATGTCAGACACTAGAGGCAGGAGCATCAGTAACTGGGATAGCGCTTGTGAGAGTGCTTTTGGGGCATCTATACAAGCGCAACACTGAAATCCCAATGTCGGCTCTAATGTCCACACGGCCACCTGGCAGACTCATTGGTGCCTGGCCTCTTGACACCCTGTGCGAGGACCTTTCTGTGAAAGGACTGTTTCCCCCCACCACACACTTTTGCCAGGGATCAGGTTTTGGTGAAGAAGTTTGGCAAGGATGTCAAGGACTGCCTTACACAAGGCTTCTTTGACAGCAAGCTGAACTTCTTCCCTGCTTTTAAATTCAGGGATGTCAGGGGCACAAAGAGAGTTCCAGTAAACCATTCCCCATTTCTTTGGTGGCACAAATGACCATGCAGGTGTGTGTGGAGGTGGAGAGGCGGTCCCATACGTACCCCAGGAACCTGGAAAAGTACAGGGACCATGGCATGGCATGGATGGAGAAGGTTCTTGCACGGCTTCCACCAAAGATGAAAACTCTTCCCAACTGTCAACTCAAAGCTGTCACCTTCGTTTCCTGCATTGGCTTTGTGATGAATGGCGACTACGTCGACTTTAATCACCTCAGGGACCTGCTGCAGGAAATGAGCCTGGCTATCTCACAGGCTGACATGCAGAAGATGCAGATCCTGTCGAAGTTCACACTGCCAAAGGTGTACAATGTGATCATCTGGAAGCTGCATGAGGACATTCCCTACCGTGCTGTGCCACCTACTCATCGCATTCTCTCACACACACCACAGCAAACATGGATGAACCACAAGAGCCCATTCAGCCTGAGGAGGATGTCCAGAATGTTGAGCTGCAGGATGACTTGAGGCCCATGGAGAGGTCGCAAGCCGTGTACCTACCTGCAAATACATCCATGAAATGGTCAGCTCAGGAGCTGTCATTCATCCCCACAGGCAGGCGCATAGAACTAAAGACTGCATACCAGGAATACAGCCAGAAGTGTAAGGAACATAAAGTTGCCATCAGAAGCTACATAGCCTTTCATACAAAGGTGTGGAAATTAAAGTCAGAGATTCATGGTAAAAATTTTCAAAAGTGGGCACCCAGTTAGCTCAGTCAGTAGAGCTGGCAACCCATGTAGTTGTAGCTCAGCTGGGTTGAACCAAACTGCAGTCCCTAGGATCACTGAGGCCAGACCCAAGAGTCCACAACTCACCTGATACCTGACCATATTCAGTTATACTTAGGTTAACCACTCCCACACTTGGTGTGGGACCCAAAAAATTCAAAATACAAACCTGCTCCAATTGACTCCAAATGGCCTGAAAACGTGCTCCTACACACTTTCTGAAAATTCCATACTAGAGCTGACACTTTTTTCAACATAGGATCGCTCCATTAACAATGAATGAACGCACGTTCGGTCGAATAACTCCCGAACCGAACGCCGTAGACATAATTCGACCACGCTGAACACGTAGGACTTGTCCCCGAGTCTCTACCCCGAGGTCGTATGAACACTGAACTTCCTACCTCTAATTAAATCTTGTAAAAATTCACAAGTTTTGTTTCCTGTCTTATAAAAGCAAACAGCAAGTAACTATGAATTTGTTCAAAATTGAGTGAAATTGAACTTTTAAATGTTTTATCTTGTGACAAAGTCCAGTCTCGCTCTGTCCTGTACAACATAAGTTGTTACGATTCACGCTGTTTACTGACGTATTTTATGTCAGAGAACAAAATCTCTTCATCTCTTTCTGGATTTTAGGACTAATTTCTCATTTCTTTTCTCCGTTATCATTTACTCAAACTCTTTAATCTCTCGGCTTTAACGTTGTAAGTATAAAGCAGCAGGGACAAAACAGTCTACAGTTGTTTATTATTACCACTTTATATTTCAGTATGTCTCAGCTGTATATAACAATAACTCCTAATGATGTAATTAATTAAATTCATGCAACTTGATCTCAGATAAGCGGCAGAGACCAATTAAAAATGGGTAATTCATTTGAGTGATTGCTAAAATAAACCCTAACATCAACAGAGCAGTGACAGTGTTTGAACTGAAGGACAAAAAGGACTGAAACACCAAAAGTTTTAGTTTAAAGGTGTAAAACGTCTCCGGACAGCCATCAGTTACGGATCAATATCTCAATAAACTGCGTGTTCTTCCTCGGGGACTCACAGGGGATCCGGCTCGAGTGCCAGGGCACCGAGTTGGTGACGTAGTCTTGTTTTGAGGCCGTAATGATGACCCAGGTTCCCGTGCGGTACAGGAAGTTGACTCTCAGGACGCCATCGCTGCCGGCCCGGCTGGACGCCAACACGGTCTGGTTGCCATGGACTTCCACGTGGGCGTTGGCCAGCGGCGACAGGTCGCTGTTGTCGAACACCTGGACTTTGATTTGCACCTCTGGAAGACATAAAGAGAGGAACTGATTAATGGAGGGGTGAACCGTTGAGTAACGTGAGGAAGAAGCTAACGAGGATCTTAATAAACAAACAAATCAGATTTCTCATTTAAAGTCTTTTTTTTATCAAAAAACCTTTTTGTGTTTTGTCCGGCCGACGAAAGTCAACTTAGATTTTTGTAAATTGTGATTTTTTTAAAATTATTTTCTGATATTTTGTCGACCAAATTCAGATTCATCAATGAACTTTGAAGCAAATCCAATAATCTGTTAGCAGCAGATGAATCTATAAAGACAGAAATCATCATTTGCAGCCCTCATTGTTCACATTAATCTAAATATTAACTCACATTAGTACTTTAATCAAATGTAAAGAAGCTCAGGACTCATTCATCTCTAAAAGAAAACACTAAATATCCTTCTCAAATGAGAGGAAAACGTCCATTTATTATTATTATTATTATTATTATTGTTGTTGATGATGATGATGTTCACAGACACACACCCATCATAAACCCCATCGCGTGGCTCTCCCTGCCCTTCATCCTGCCATGTTTTACAGCCCCAGAACATTTTGTCTCTCATCTCGCCTCTTGGAACGGCGTGGATGTGGGTCACGCTGGGGGTGTTTCCATGGATACGAGCTGACTCTCCAAAAAAAAAAAAAAAAAAAAAAGGGGCGGCCTGGCTTGTTGTTGCCTCCTCGGCTCAGCTCAGCTCCCCTGTAGCACCGCGAGCTGTCGTCCTCTGAAACCTCTCAGTGACAGCGACTGACGGCTGCGTTCAGATAATAACAATGTGTGTGTGTGTGTTGTGTGTGTGTGTGTGTAAACGCTGTCAGCCATTACCATAATTGGTTCAATAAAGGCTCCCTTGTGTGTGTGCGTGGAGAGGATTTCCTCCATCTGTAGCTTGAAGCGGCTCCATTGACAGAAGCACTGAGAGTCGCAGTGTCACATCGAGAGTTTTCACTCACTCGAAGAGGCTCGAGTTTTAAGATTCAGTCGAGCTTCAGCGGAGCGTTAAAGAACCTCCTCTGACGGCGTCTCTGGGCCGAGATAAATCCTTAAATTCAAACTTAGCAAAAGTCAGAGGCAGGGAAAAGATATTCTGGGAGAGTTTAGCTTCTTGGTGCTCAGGTTTTTAAAGATTATAGTGGTTTGTTTTGTCAGAAAAGATTCAACAAAAGAGGCAAATATCCACCTCTGACTCTGAATATTTGACCTTTCTGGCTAATAAAACAGTTGCAGGTGCATTTTTCTGTCCGTTGACTAATCAATGAATCGACTGCAGCTGTGCAGATGTCTTCAGACGGCTGAATTTGCTCCTTGCTAATTACTGCAGGTCGGCAGAAGTGCTGAGCTGCTCCGAAACACACCTGAAGTATCAATTAATGAGGATTTAATCCGCCAAGCAGCAGCTGGGGAGCAGAAAGCTATTACACTTTAATTTAAATCAGCTTTTAATTTAAATCAACCAAAAGAAAAAAAAAAATAAAAAAAAAAAAAATTTTTTATAAAAAAAATTTTTTGCTTTTTCTAACAGAACTCAACAATCAAATCAACTAAAACAGTTGATAATAGAAAATTTACACTAATGTTGAGCTACATTTATTTATATTTCACTGTGCTGTTTGAACAAACTGTGTCTTATTATAAGATTTGTGCTAATTATTAATCTCAGATTCTTAAATTCAGCTCAATAAAGTGACAAAATACAGTATATCTTACAGTTTATTGCATCTTTATAATATTATTATCTAATAATATAATGATGTATTAATATATAAGCCTTGTGTTTATGTTGTAGCTGCTAGCATGTGGAGCTAATAGTAGGTACTTTGCTGTAAATACAGATTTTAAAAGGTGATTCTTTGTTTTGTTTGGAAAATAAATCAAAGTTACAGAAGAAAAAGTATAAAACAATGTAAAAATACTTTAATCCAAGTAAACAAGCTGCAATTGAAACTGAAAGTAAAGCTGATGAAGCAGAGCGACCCCTTTCAGTCTGTTTATATTGTATTATTTATTATTACTGAAGAAATGTTAAATATATCGTATATTATTTGGTATTTAATCTATAACGTGTCATTTTATTAGTTGATTATTATGTTTTGTGTGTAAAATGTAACCATAACTGCAGCAGTTAGAGTAAAAGTACAATATTCCCTCCTTTAAAATAAACCGAATCTCATAACTGTATTTGAGTAAAAGTACTTAGTTACAATCCCCGACTGTCTGCAACCATCCATGCAGCTGGAAATAGCTTGAAGCATGAATAATGCAATGTAATTACATAATGTCCTTCAAACATAAACACTGCTGTAGTTTCTGTAAAGCTGCACCATGAATACACACCTTCATCCATCCTGATGCATTCTGGGGCCTTTTTTTTATTTTATTTATCAACACATATAGAATAAAAATGTGTGTCGGCTGAGTGTCTGACACACATTGTGGAGCTCACTGTCACACACACACACACACACACACATATATAAGGCCTGATATTACAGCATTATTAAAGGCCTGCACTCTGCTCAGACACATCTGTACAGTCTCTGAGCACAATAACAGCAGCCTGGGCCCTCTGTGGGATTACCACCTCCTGGTTATTGATGCATCTTCACCATTAAAACCGACGTTTTAAAAAGCGCATACGACCACAAAGATCACCCCCCCCTCCTCCTCCTCCTCCTTCATACCACCTCCCCTCCAGACAGCATGATACCGAGAGCTTTTAGAGGCTTTGGTCGACAGAAAAAAGCCATAAAAATGCAACCACTCCCATCTTCTCATTGTGCTGCATCCCCCCCCCCTCCCCTCCCTCCCCTCCCTCCACACCACCACCACGTATGGCTCTTACCAAATGCTCCCTGATCTGGAAGAGATTTGGCCAGCGCCTCCCAAAGCGCGCAGATCCACACGAAGAGGAGCACACGAGAGATGTAGTTGGCCGGCATCCTCGCAACTACATCTCTAGTCCCTGCAGCTCGGCGGCCATGTATCCATACTCCTGCCCTCGGCGGGGTTGAGAGCTCTGAACCGCCTCACACTGGGGGGCTCCGGAGCACCAGGGCTGGTTGAATGGAGATGCTGCTGCCGTCGGTCTGTGTGCGGGCTTCGCCTTGTTTTTATTGTCTGGAGGTTGGAGAGAGAGAGAGGAGGGAGGGAGGGAGGGAGGGAGGGAGAGGATATAAGGGTCCAATGTTTCCCTCTGCTGGTGTGAGGAGGAGAAACAGCGACTCAAGCTGCTTGTTGTTCTGCACTGAACTGATCTGGAGTCTGCAGAAGAACACAACTCATTTAAATGTTTAATTAATAAACATCTGATACATGTTTGTGTATGGAAGCTTATTTCTGCCAGTGCGACGACATAATGAGAAACTTTTCACTTAGCATCTCAAATTATTGATTTAGCATCTCTAAATATTGATTTAGCATCTCTAAATATTGACTTAGCATCTCTAAATATTGATTTAGCATCTCAAATTATTGATTTAGCATCTCTAAATATTGACTTAGCATCTCTAAATATTGATTTAGCATCTCTAAATATTGATTTAGCATCTCTAAATATTGACTTAGCATCTCTAAATATTGATTTAGCATCTCAAATTATTGATTTAGCATCTCATTGTTTGCTCTAAATATTGACTTAGCATCTCTAAATATTGATTTAGCATCTCTAAATATTGACTTAGCATCTCTAAATATTGACTTAGCATCTCTAAATATTGATTTAGCATCTCAAATTATTGATTTAGCATCTCTAAATATTGACTTAGCATCTCTAAATATTGATTTAGCATCTGTAAATATTGATTTAGCATCTCAAATTATTGATTTAGCATCTCTAAATATTGACTTAGCATCTCTAAATATTGATTTAGCATCTCTAAATATTGACTTAGCATCTCTAAATATTGATTTAGCATCTCTAAATATTGATTTAGCATCTCTAAATATTGACTTAGCATCTCTAAATATTGATTTAGCATCTCAAATTATTGATTTAGCATCTCTAAATATTGACTTAGCATCTCTAAATATTGATTTAGCATCTCAAAATATTGACTTAGCATCTCTAAATATTGATTTCGCATCTCTAAATATTGATTTCGCATCTCTAAATATTGATTTAGCATCTCAAAATATTGACTTAGCATCTCTAAATATTGATTTAGCATCTCAAATTATTGACTTAGCATCTCAAAATATTGATTTAGCATCTCTAAATATTGACTAAGCATCTCAAATTATTGATTTAGCATCTCAAAATATTGATTTAGCATCTCAAATTATTGATTTAGCATCTCTAAATATTGATTTAGCATCTCTAAATATTGATTTAGCATCTCTAAATATTGATTTAGCATCTCAAATTATTGATTTAGCATCTCTAAATATTGATTTAGCATCTCTAAATATTGACTTAGCATCTCTAAATATTGATTTAGCATCTCAAAATATTGATTTAGCATCTCTAAATATTGATTTAGCATCTCAAAATATTGACTTAGCATCTCTAAATATTGATTTAGCATCTCTAAATATTGACTTAGCATCTCAAAATATTGATTTAGCAGCTCAAATTATTGATTTAGCATCTCTAAATATTGATTTAGCATCTCTAAATATTGATTTAGCATCTCAAATTATTGATTTAGCATCTCTAAATATTGATTTAGCATCTCTAAATATTGACTTAGCATCTCTAAATATTGATTTAGCATCTCAAAATATTGACTTAGCATCTCTAAATATTGATTTAGCATCTCTAAATATTGATTTAGCATCTCAAATTATTGACTTAGCATCTCAAAATATTGATTTAGCATCTCAAATTATTGACTAAGCATCTCAAATTATTGATTTAGCATCTCAAAATATTGATTTAGCATCTCAAGTTATTGATTTAGCATCTCTAAATATTGATTTAGCATCTCAAATTATTGATTTAGCATCTCTAAATATTGATTTAGCATCTCAAATTATTGATTTAGCATCTGTAAGTATTGATTTAGCATCTCTTAATAAGACTCATAGTAAGTGAATTTGTAGCAAATACATGAAAAATAGCCACGTGTCTATATAGATATAGATAGATAGATAGATAGATAGATAGATAGATAGAGGATAGATTGATTGATTGATAGATATAGATTTATTGATTGATAGATAGAGAGGCCATACTGACAGTATAATATAATCTATCATTGGATTAATGTATTTAAGTTGAAGCAGTATGTTAAGATCAGAGCTGGCAGAGGTGGAGCTCATGCTCTATACTGTGAGCTATTAATATATTTATAGTAAAGTATTAAAATATTCAGAAGTACAAGTAACTCAAAGATGTTCTTCAGTGTTTCCCAGGTTGATGAAAAATGTCTTGTAAATGTCATTAAAATGTATGTTTCTTCTTCTCATAGGCCCGTGTGTTCATTGTATTATTGTATTATTAATGTATAGTGAATATTACGCACACTGCACACTATCTACTTTATTATATATATTTTACTTATTGGTCATCTTGGTGCCTATATTCTTCTATATATAAATATATACAACTGGAATTCACTTATATAATCTGGTATTTATGTTTTTATTGTATAAATAAGGTGGAAATAACTTATTTCTGTATTTTAATCTACTTTCTGCTTCTATTTCTCAACAGTTTAAAGGTGAATATTGTTATTTTTACTGCGTTACATTTATTTAACTGTAGTTATTAAGATTTGATGTGATCAGTGATAAAATACTCAAATATGTTGAGTTACAGTCATAAAACCACAGTACAAGTGCACTCAAGTATCAGGCAGAGACAGTGAATAAAGGATCAAACGATCAATAATATTATATATTGTTGGGTTATTGATGTAGTTGATGAACAGTGAGGTAATGTGTTTTATAGGCTCGTCGCAGAGTTTTATACTCAGAATATTTCAATCTGGCGACTGTACGGTCAGAAAACTCAATAAAATGTGCTGTTTTTATTTTCCTGGCAGTGGAGCCGGAACATTTAGACCTTTTATGTGTGGAAATACAATATAATTATATATATAAAATCAACAGTTAAGTTTCTTGATTTATCTTCACTCAGACTAAAATCCTACTCTGAGTTATTTCCATTTTATGTTCCAGTGGAGTTTATTCGACTTTTTAATCAAACAATTTACTTTATTAAATATGCTCAGTTTTTACACTGTTATGAATAAAACTCTCCAACAGTATTTAAAGTAATCAAAAAGAGCTCAATCTACAGTACTGTGCAAGAGTTTTAGGCAGGTATGAAAAAAATGCTGTAAACTAAGAATGCTTTCAAAAATGGAAGTTTTAATAATTTATTTTCATCAATTAACAAAATGCAGTGAATGAACAGAAGAGAAACCTAAATCAAATCAATACTTGGTGTGACCACCCTTTGCCCTTCAAGACAGCATCAGTTCTTCTAGGTACACTTGCACACAGTCTTTGAAGGAACTAAGCTGGTAGGTTGTTCCAAACATCGTGGAGAACTAACCACAGATCTTCTGTGGATGTAGGCTTCCTCTAATCCTTCTGTCTCTTCATGTAATCCCAGACACACTCGAGATCAGGGCTCTGTGGGGGCCATGCCATCACTTCCAGGACTTCTTGTTCTTCTTTACGCTGAAGATAGTTCCTATTGACCATGGCTGTATGTTTGGGGTCGTTGTCCTGCTGCAGAATAAATTTGGGGTCAATTATACGCCTCCCTGACATGAGGTATTGCATGATGGATAAGTATCTGCCTGTATTTCTCAGCATTGAGGATACCATTAATCCTGACCAAATCTCCAACTCCATTTGCAGAAATGTAGCCCCAAACTTGCAAGGAACCTCCACCATGCTTCACTGTTGCCTGCAGACACTCATTATTGTACCGCTCTCCAGCCCTTCGGCGAACAAACTGCCTTCTGCAACAGCCAAATATTTCAAATTTTGACTCATCAGTCCAGAGCACCTGCTGCCATTTTTCTGCACCCCAGTTCTTATGTTTTCGTGCATAGTTTAGTCGCTTGGCCTTGTTTCCATGTTAGAGGCTTTTTGGCTGCAACTCTTCCATGAAGACTACTTCTGGGCAGACTTCTCCGGACAGTAGATTGGTGTACCTGGGTCCCACTGGTTTCTGCCAGTTCAGAGCTGATGGCACTGCTAGACATCTTCCGATTTCGAAGGGAAATAAGCTTGATGTGTTTTTCAACTCAAATTCAAGGCAACTTTTTGAGTTTTAAGTAAAACGACTTTTCTTCTCTAGAAAAACTTGAATCTTTACATTTTACAAACAAAAAAACTCAGTATTTCCTAATTTATATACATATATAACTGATATATTGATTGATTATATATATCATTTAATATTTTAAATGGCAGCTATTTAATTTTCAAGCACCAGAATAAGGAAAAATTAGGAATTTTATTATTTCAATTATTTCAGTTTCAGAGTTTACAATAAATTTATATTTATTTTAAAACTTATGAACATCAAAAAGTTAAAATATGACTTAAAATATAAAAACAGTTGCCCTTAAATTTTAAGAGTTTTCTCAAAAATAATGTTTTTACAGTAAATATTTCTCTCTGAAATGTGAAGTAAAAGTTAAAATTCCACTTAAATAAAGTACTTAAGTTGAAGTTCTTGGTAATATTATAATGAGTATTGTTACTTTTAATACTTTAATACATATTTCTGTTATTTCTGTGTCAAATTTGTTTTTATGACCTTTAAAAACTCTTCCTGGTTGGTGTTTTGTTGCAGTGAAGAAGAAGAAGGTGGATGAAACCTGCCACTGTGGTCTGTTACTCACATTAGAGCTCACAGGAGGAGGAGGAGGAGGAAGAGGAGGAAGAGACGAAGAGTTGGACTCCAGGCTGATTTTCCCATCCATCCAGGTTTTCTCTTCTTCCTACTTTCAGCAGCCACAGCAGCAGCTGGTGGTCGTATTTATCATTTTTATTATTTAATTAAAAATTCATATTGCATAAGTATTTCATTCCTGGCAACGTGGGGAGGTGTTTGTAGATTTATAGGTTAAAAAAAAAAGCTTTCACTTTGCTTTCTGGTATTTTATATTCATCACAGAAACCCAATCTTCTGCCTGTGTGGCTGTAATAGCTTTTCAGAGTCCTTTTA